ATTAAATATAAGAACACTATTTTAGTTTGGGTTCGGTAAGAGTTTTAAAATAATTTTGAAAGAAATCTCTTATGCTCACCATAGCTGCATTTATATAATCAATAATACAGTAAAATCATTGTGAAATATTAGTCAAATTTAAAATAGCCGTTTTCTTTTTTAATTTACTATAAAATGTCATTTTTATTTTTTTTTTTTGCAAGTTGAGCATTAACTTAACAAAATACCCTTAAAAATGTTCACCTCTTAAAAACGTTTTTTACTAAAAAAAAAGTATGATGTTGAACAGATTTCAACATAACAGCACAAACTCAACGTTCAAAACAGTAATTTATTGGGCATTTTCATCATAATTCATTTACAGATCATATGTTATATGCCTTTTAGATGTTGACATTTGACTGTATTTGCTATGTATAACTGAATTTATGTAATTATTGGGGGAATATCTATCTACCCTGTCTTCAAGAGTTTTTAAAACTCAATAAATAATATTATCTCTTTGCAGTGCTTGTATGGCATAATTGAAAACATGCTGTTTTATTAGTAATCCCGATCTGATTCTGAACCCCTACTGGATTTATGGACTGAGAGAGCTGCAGGTTAGCTTAACTTCACTCGCACAACATGAAATGCTTGTAAACGACAGACCAAATGAGGATGACAGCTGACTTCATTTGCTAAACGAGACATGCCTGTCTGTGAACTCTGCTATTGCTGGACAAATTGAACCATTGTAAGGACTAACATAAACACATTTCATAATCATCCATTTTGGAAGAAAAAAAGAAGGAAGACTGTACATCTACAGTGACAAAATGACATAAAGAGAGTGAGAATGCAGTTCATTCATTAATTTATGTATCTGCTTGCATTTACTGGATCTGTTTGTTATAACTGGATCAGTTTTATCAAAAAGTATAATGTTGAACAGATTTCAACATAACAGCACAAACTCAACGTTCAAAACAGTAATTTATTGGGCATTTTCATCATAATTCATTTACAGATCATATGTTATATGCCTTTTAGATGTTGACATTTGACTGTATTTGCTATGTATAACTGAATTTATGTAATTATTGGGGGAATATCTATCTACCCTGTCTTCAAGAGTTTTTAAAACTCAATAAATAATATTATCTCTTTGCAGTGCTTGTATGGCATAATTGAAAACATGCTGTTTTATTAGTAATCCCGATCTGATTCTGAACCCCTACTGGATTTATGGACTGAGAGAGCTGCAGGTTAGCTTAACTTCACTCGCACAACATGAAATGCTTGTAAACGACAGACCAAATGAGGATGACAGCTGACTTCATTTGCTAAACGAGACATGCCTGTCTGTGAACTCTGATATTGCTGGACAAATTGAACCATTGTAAGGACTAACATAAACACATTTCATAATCATCCATTTTGGAAGACTGTACATCTACAGTGACAAAATGACATAAAGAGAGTGAGAATGCAGTTCATTCATTAATTTATGTATCTGCTTGCATTTACTGGATCTGTTTGTTATAACTGGATCAGTTTTATCATGAGCATTTATAATGTAACACATTATAAAGTAATGTGTTAGAAAGTAACACTTTCTATGAAGTCTTTAAATAATGCAACTTGAATGTTTTCGTAATCCCTTAATGCACAATCTGTCAATTCTGTTCTTGTAAATGCTGTCACCAGTTTCACTATAATAAATTATAAAGGTTTTTCATAGTTATATATTTTTTGTAACACACAATCAATAACAAGTGTTATTTATTAAATGTTATAATATTTTACAGAATGAATCATCATCAATAGTTCAGTATTTACATTTGTATTACAATGAGCATAATCTCTAGTCTAGGTGTTTTCTCAAATTTTTTTTTCTAGGGGCAATTTGACAATAAATTTATAGCTTAGATTTTTTTTTTTGCATAAATGTACTAATATCCACTGCCCAAAACATTTTGTAGTTTGTTACCTTTTACATTTTTATTTTGCCATTTCATCAATTGTTATGTAGGCTAGTTCATTTTTTTTTTACTGTTTACACTTGTACTAGTAAAAACCTAAAAAAAAATTTTCTCAAATTTTTTTTTCTAGGGGCAATTTGACAATAAATTTATAGCTTAGATTTTTTTTTTTGCATAAATGTACTAATATCCACTGCCCAAAACATTTTGTAGTTTGTTACCTTTTACATTTTTATTTTGCCATTTCATCAATTGTTATGTAGGCTAGTTAATATTTTTTTTACTGTTTACACTTGTACTAGTAAAAACCTAAAAAAATTTAATTTGACAACTTTTCAGTATCTTTTTCCTTGGTGAAAACGTTCAATAGACTTCATTGAAAGTGTTACCGATAACGGCTATATATTACGGTGTATCTGTATAATTTGAGGCCTCTCGTCTATTGGTTTGAATTCGCGTGAGTTCTCCTCAGATGTGATGCGGTCCCAGGCGCAGTACTGAGAAAGCTCTGCGGTGTTTGCGCAGCAGCTGTCGGATCTTCTCGTCGTCTGTGTCGGGGTCCAGCGGTTTGTTGTACTCCTCGTCCTCCACCTCGTTTTCCGAGCCGTCTCCTCCGCTCTCCCCCCGCGAGGCCTGTGTGGAGCTGGGCTCCGAGTCCGTAGCGCTCTTCTTCCGCCATTTTGTGCGCCGGTTCTGGAACCAAACCTGAGAGGAATCACAATGTCGCGTCAGAAACACGCAGCTAGGTGCTGTTAAAACTCATTACAGATCGTTAAAATAAATGCATTCTTATAACCAAAGTTTGAAAATGTTAGTAATGTAAACAGCACCTATTTATGTTCAGCTTCCCAACAACTTTAGCAAAGTTAGGCTACACCAATCAACAGTTACCCTGGTATGTTTTACAGCTATTGAATAATGCACATATGCAAACCTATTAAAAAAACGTTAAATGACTAGTATGTTATCTTACTTTAACTTGTGACTCAGTCATGCCTAGTGAGTATGCCAGTCTGGCTCTCTCTGGTCCTGCCAGGTACTTGGTCTGCTCGAAGGTTTTCTCCAGAGCGAAGATCTGGTGCCCACTGAATGTGGGTCTGGTGTGCTTCTTTTTCCCCACAGTCTCAGTGTGATGCCCGCCATCTACAGAGAAAACACAAGACTGTGTATCACAGCTAGTCCTGTATCTTCTGACACATTTGAAGAATTCAGGTGCAAAAACCTTTAAGTCCTCTGGGATTTTTCTTTTAAACAAGCATTTTAATCAGGCTCCTATCAAAATAACATTGGACAAAGGCATTCAGTAAATGACTAATAACATTTTGATTGCTATTAAAGTGAAATCACATAGGAGCCTGATAAAAATGCTCATTTAAAAGAAAAAATCTCAGACGGACTTGGAGGTTTTTGCATCTGAAGTCCTCATTTTATCCCACTTAATTTCTTTTTTCTATTTTGCCCTGTAACTTCAATCCATCAAATGATAAAATGGATGAAGCATAAATTGGTCAAATGGAAACAAATAAGTAAATAATTGAATTAGCATTTACGTTGTCATTTAGGCCTACATTTCATGTTAGAAACACTTTTACAACTTAAACTAATGGATGAAAAAATAATTATATTAATTGATCTTTAATAAAAAATAAATAAAAGAAACATCTGGGTTTATATAGAAGAATTTAAAGTTTTACTTTTAAGTCAACAAATTTCTATGGAAAATGTCAAATTGTTTAATTTTGTTATGTTATGAATATTTATTATATTTTATACACAATAATTTTAATATATTTAAAGAATATTTTATATAATTTATTTATATTTTACAAAACTTAAAATAATGAACTGTTTTAAAAGGATGACTTTTTTGCATTAAATCTTTTTATTTACTGTAAAAAAAAAGTAATTAGAAATATTCTCCACAACCATTCATTTAAATTTAATTTACATCATATACAGTAAGATGTATATAATAATATCACACTGATTTGTTAAATCTTTTTAACATTTCCACTGAAAGCATAAAAATAATGAACTGTTTATTAAGATGAAGTTTTTTTTTTCATTAAATGATTGTTTTATTAAATAGTTAAATTATTATACACTGTACTGAAAAAAGTTAAATTGTATTTAACTTTACATAATATACAGTCAATTGTATATACATCAATAATATCAGACTGACTGATATTATTAATGTATTTAGGTATTTTGACTGGACTGATATTCCACCTAATCAAGGTTTATCAAGTCGAGTCCTTAAATACAATGTAATTGGAAAACTTTTTAATGGTTTTTCTCCTGTTTGATATTCTTATTCAAACAATTTACAAAATGTAGTAAATTAGTGTGGTGAATGTCAATATCTCATCACACGTAATGCTCCAAATCAAACACACATATTGCACAGACTTACTGTTGGGACACTGCTGTCTGGCTCCTCTCCACTCGTACCCTCCGTCCACCCAGCAGCTGCTGCCTTTACCCTTCAGACCCGAACATTCGACTCCGGGTTTAGGGAAACTGCTCAGTCCCGATGGGGTGTAATCCCGGTTATAATACACCCCTGGACTGGGCACGGCCGTCCCGAAGCCACCCATGGAGGGGTACCCGGACAGTAGCGCAGGGGTTCCCGGGCCGCCCACCAGGGATCGACTCAGGATGTCGCTGATGCCATGCAGCGTGCCGGCCTGGAGCTGAGAGTTGATGTTGGCGGGGCCGAGCTTGTAGAAGGAGTTGGGAATGGAGTACTGGCACACCGGGGCCTTGATGTCTGAGGGGAACTGGTTCAAGCTGTTGTTGAAGAGGAAGGATCCTGAAATATTGGACTCCATGGACACCAGTGTGCACTTCTTCTGCTTCCCAAGACGACGATGATGGCGATTCAAGACTGATTTCTTACCAAGGTCCTGACATCAAGTACTCCGAAGGGTCTAGTCCAGTTCAACACAACCTGACAACTTTCTGTTGGAGTATTTCCAGGGCTCAGTGTGGTCCTCACATCACCCCGGAAATGTCTCAAAGATCAGGTAAGAGCCTGTGTTTTTACTTCCTCTTCTCAACTCTTTAACTAGTCCATAATGGATGCTGGATCCCAAAAGTGAACACCAAGCGCCACTCTCACTTTCACAGACAAATGTCCCACCACTGGCTCTCTGGCTGCAGGTCATAAATAAGATGCACCTTAGACCGCTGTGGCACTTTCTTCATAATGATGGACAGAATTAGAATGGCCTGCCTTGATTGGTTGAGCGCTCGACGTGCCTGGTCTCCTCATTGGTCTGTTCGCAGCAGGACAGCCTTTGATTGGTTGTCAACAGATTAATCGTTTTTTAAAAAGTCTGGGTGAGAATAAGTTGCTTTTTAATGGGGCGTCTGCCGTGGCTGTGGAGGAGCAGCTAGCAAGCGTAACACAGGGAAATGGGATTTTTGTCATCTTGTAATGGTCACTGGGAATGTATTACGTTGTCTTTTCCTTCATTATGATTGCATTTGAGAAGATCTGCTTTGGTGACCATGTCTGACAGATTTTTTTCTTTGCCATTTATTAGTACCAGACGGACAAGTGCAAAATCCCCCTTTCTCTTAGTTAATAGCATGATTTTATCATGAATTTAATTTCATTCGTATAGAGGTGGTTTTTAGGCAATTTCTTATCTATGTACACAAAGGTAATGTAAAGACAGTAGGATGTAATATGTCATGTAATAAGTGTAAAGGATTGACAGCAATGAAAACTCCTTTTTTGAGACCTGACCTTAGACATTGTCCTTGACTTTCTGGACTTAAGACTGTTTGATATTCTGTCCAGGACAAGAAGGGTTTTACAATTACTGTTTGTACTGAGCTATTGATTATGTCTAGGTTCATGCATAAATTCCTTAATTTCTTGACACAAGCATGGTGTATGTTTTTTTTCTTCTATGAGGTATAAAAAAGGTTGATATGTTAGAAAAAAAAAATCTTAAAAAAAAAAAAAAACATGGTAATTTTAGTGAAGGTCATATTGAAATATATGACCGTTATATTAAAAAAGCTGAAATTTAATAGTTTTAATGAAAATTTATATATTAGAAATGTATATATTAGAAAAAAATTACACCTTAAAGTAAAAATACAATAAAATATAATAATAAATATTAAAAAACAATTATTTATACTCACAGTATACTCACCATATTTGATGGTTTCTATAATGCAAGGATTCCCAAACTTTTTTTAGTCAGCCAAACCCCACTGACTTTTCTTGACATACCCCACTAAGATTTTATATTAATATAATAATTAATTCATAATAATTTATCAACACATTCGCATGTTCATGGTTCTCTGATGTTGTCGAATGGTCACTTGGCATGCAGGAAAACAAAAGATGTATTTTTTTAGAAAGTGTTTTATTTACATTTTATTTTAAAATTCTTTTAATTTTACATTTTAATAATTTAATTAATTATTAGCCTTTCATCAGCTCAAACCCCAAGTTAGGGAAATCCTGCTATAATGCATTAAAATTCCATAAAAAATTGAAAACCTCTTCCAGCAACTTTTAGGTTTTTATAAAGAAAAACTGGCATTAAATGACAAAATTCCCCAGCTGGGTTTTATTGTTTGAGTTGCTTTAATCTGATTTCCTTTGTAGAGGGTGATAGATGATCGCCACGATGTCAGATCAACAATCTTCCTATATGAAAGTCCTATTGACAATCCCCTATTAAGTGCATTAAGACAAAAGACCAAGCATGAGTAATGAAAGCGTGTAATAAAAAAAATTAAAAAACATTACAAATGTAAAGTAATGTGTCCTAATGCCAGTATGGCCAATATGTGCAGGTACTTTTATTTCATGTCTTGCTGTACTGTTTCATCTCTGGCAGATGTCGTATACAAAGATCAATCTAGGATTGTCAATGCTCAAAAAACAACAGCAAGTCTGTCATCAGCAGGCAAAGCAAGCTGCTGAACTTGTCTCAACCTGAACTTGACTTTGTATTAAGACATTTAATAGAAAGTGAAACCAGCCTATCTGTTCACTTTGGGGCTTCATATTATAATGTAGTATTACGTTAACTTAGGAGTAAAGGGACGTTTTAGGTCAAACAATTACATTCTTGTTTACACGTGACGGTGATCAGTGGGTTTCTTCATCCCAGCACTATCTATTCATCTGGGCTTTCTATGGGTATTTTTAGTTTTGTAAATGCTTGTTTTTTGCCATATGTTTGCAGAAAGCTGTTGCAAGTTCTTCATAAGACAAATTTCAAAGTAAAGAAGTAAAAGGTTTGTACAGAACTTTTCCATTATTCTGGAGAAAGGAATGAAATAAATGTGTTAAAAGCTGATAATTATACACGTTTTGACATCCTTTGGTGGAGAAGGCAAGAATTCAATTTCTGTGGAAATCTGTTTTCTGCAGATTTCTGCAGTCACAGTTTCCATGTAAGCTGACACTTGACTTTTTTTCCAAGTATGCAGTGATAAACCTTTCTGCAAAAACGGCATTATACTGCATTTGTTGCCACATTACATTTATTTCAGTTAGTGGCGCCTGGTTATTTTACAGTTTTTTATATGCAGTTTTGTGTAAAAGCGTCTTAATGATTGACTGAAAAATAAATAAGTGCAAAAATTGTGACTGATAATTTGACATTCGGTTCATTCGTCAAGCTTGGAGGGTTCGAAGCGCAGTGCATTGTGGGTTGCTGTATTGCAGTCTGCTCAGGTTGTATATTTAGGCAAATGTCTTCTGGGTATTCCACATATATTGATATACAGTGGGTACGGAAAGTATTCAGACCCCCTTAAATTTTTCACTCTTTGTTATATTGCAGCCATTTGCTAAAATCATTTAAGTTAATTTTTTTTCCTCATTAATGTACACACAGCACCCCATATTGACAGAAAAACACAGAATTGTTGACATTTTTGCAGATTTATTAAAAAAGAAAAACTGAAATATCACATAAAATACAAAAATAGGTAGTGAGCTTGTCATCTGAAGTCTCCTACAGTCCACAGCAGTTATTGATGTATTAAATATATAGTTCGCTGAACTGACCTGCTGCGTTGACAAAAGGTAGATCTCGTTCATTATGTCAGGCATGTTTCATCATTGTTTACTTGATCAGTTTCCGCACGTTTCATCAGTCCCGTTGATACACTGCATTGTTTCGCAGATGAAAGATGAGATGATGTGATAACAATGAAAACATTTTACAGAACCAATGCTATACAGAACATTAATTGGTTTCTTATTCATTTGAGATTTAATTTTTTATTTGGTTCTTTTTGTTTTTGTTAGTGTGTTAATTGCTTGATTCATGAATGTTAATGTCTGCTGAAGTTTTAAAAACTAGTAAACAGATGTTGAAAGAAAACAAAAGTCAAATTCTTTTGAGATGTCATGTAAGATCAGCTGGACTCATACTTTTGCTTTCGTTATGACAGTGTTCTTGCCACATACCTGTCTGTACAGAAAAGAAAACTGGGATGGGCTCTGGATCTGCAGGAGCTTTTGAAATGACGACCTGCTCTTTCTAGGTTTGTGATGATTTCAGAAAAAAAAGTATTGCAGTAAAATGGAAATTCTACAACAAAAAAAAAAGGGTGGGGGGTGTGGCACTATGGAAATTGACCATAAAAAATATAGTAAAAGTGTTTCAGGTATTACAGGATGGCATTTTGGTAAATGTATATTTAATAGATCATAACATATTAATACTACATTAAAAAATGATTAAAAAAAAATAAAGAAAAAATAAGATATTTTATATAATCAAAAAAGTATATATATAATTAAATCTGAACATCTGGGAACTCATTTAAACCATTTTATTATTTTACTGTAATAAATTAATTCATACTTTTTATTTATCTTAAATCTTCCACATTTTTACATTATTTTACATAAGAATTATTGTCCCTGCATCCCATTTTGATGGGAGATCTTATATCTCAGCATTAGATCCATTTGCATGCTTGAGACCCTCAAACATCACAAGGATACTACAACATTTAGTTTGTTTTCTTAAAAAGCAGTCATGGCACTATTCGCCACATGCCTTGTCTCATCAGTATTACAAAGTTATTTTTCTGTAAGCTGTCTATTGTAGCTTGATTTAGAAACTTGTTTGCCTCTTTTCAGGACACTGATCTGCAAAACAAAAATGATCTCACTGGTTAATCAAAAGCTGACTGTCTTTGTTGTTCTCCAGCACGTGTCTTGAAGTATTGCAGTAAATAGCAAAATAGTACATTTTCCAAAGAACTCAACTCCTTTAGACCTTTGTTCATTATGTGAAAGTTTAAAAAATCCCAAACAATATTACACAAATAATATGACATTGATATAACAAACATTATGTAGTTTTAATAATTTATGCTTTAAGAAATGCATTAAATGACCATGTTGATTATAGTGCTGTGTTACAGCCATACATTTCATCATCCCTGAGGTTACAAATTGTGGTGCATTGTCTTTATATTCAACTAGAAACCAGGTGCTTTCCAGTCATGTCAACAGTCAGAAGCAGACATGCCTGTTTCCTCTAAAGGGTGGAGATTTTGACAGAGTTATGCTAATATGCATGTCTATCTACATTTCATAGACAAGTATGAACAACAATGATGAACCAGAGATGAATCCGAGTTGTTTGGGCATACTAGAGCTTTAAAATAGCCTATTTATACAGTATATTTACAAGTATAAATATAAGTTATTTATTTTTATATATAAGATTTATAGTTGAGATTTTCATATACAATTTACCTTTAAATTCCAAATGTAAAATGTAGATTTCAATTGAATTGGATAATCTTGTACCATATTGATATAAAAATGCAAAGAAAAAGAAAATATATTCCATTCGTTGTTATTGACAACTTAAAGTGCATTAAACTTTGCATTATATTATCATTATTATTTCCTATACTGGGGTTCATAAAGGAACTGCAGGGGGTTTGTGAGTTTAATAAAAAGCAAATAATTAATTAAATCATAAAAATGTAAAATGTAAATAAATCATTTTAAAATAACATAAATCAAAATAAAACACATACTAAAAAAGATAAATATTTTATTTGTTTACCTGCCTGTCATGTGACCATTAACCAATGTCAGAGAACTGCAAACATGCAAATGTGATACCTAATTATTCAAATATTTATTTCAAAATACTCATGGGGTACTCATAACTCAAATAAAAATGAACGTGTTCATCAGTAGTTGATGTAATGTTGAATTGCTAAGAAAACACTTGATAAAACTGAAATTATTTTGTCAATCCAGTGGTCAAATGTTGTGTGGCCTTTCAAATTTCTGTGTAATTATATCCACCTGACTAGTGACTGTTTTTTTTTTTTTTTTGTGAATGTCCACAAAACTGGAAGACCAAGTTAAATATATTATCATTTCATTTAGGAGTAAAATGTGATGTGATGATCTCAACAAGTTTTACTCCACCTAATTCTCAGGTAGCACATTTCTTAGAAAAAGAAACTTGAACACAAAGACACACTTCATTTGAATCAGGATTGGCTTACCATGCAATTAAAAAAAAAAAACACACACATCTTATAATATAATTCGTTGTATGGAAAATCCAGAAACATCAGTCAGCCAGTAATTTCCCTCACTCTGCTCCTGCACATAAGCTCGTCCCCTTTTTCTTCTTTTAACTTTTCATTCAGCCAGAGCAACTTGTCAAACAGGCTTTTGTGCTCTGCTCTCAGAAGTGCTTGGACGATAAAAGCGGGAGTAACACAATTCGGTTTTAGTTGCATTTACCATCTTGAACATCAGTGCCATTTCATGAAGCAAAGACAGACCAGCAATGAGTGAGTATAACACAAAAAGTGTCTCTATATACTGTAGGTTTACTGGTTTGTCAGACTCACTGTGCGATTCATTTGTATCATTTTAGAGCACGATCGCATGTGTGGCAGTCGATGTCTGGGTCCGATGACTTTCAGTGTGGACCTGACAGGCCAACACGTGACCCTCAGCCAAGAAGGACAACTCGCGTCCAGAGACACCTCGTCCTTTATGAACGGTTTGGCGTTTCTCAGCCGCACTGTAAAGGTGGATGAAAAGCTGTGTATACGTATTGAGGACCGCACCTCGTTGTGGGATGGAGCTCTTCGTGTGGGTTTCACCAGCTTCTGCCCACAGAGAAACAGTTTACCACCTGCCTCAATACCATACCTCAGGAACACACGGGGATACTGTGTTGTGCCAGTGCCTGAGGACTTGTGTAGGTGTGGTGTACAGCTTCAGTTCTGGATAAACTATGCAGGCATGGTTATTGTTCAAGAGATAGGTGGGGAGAAATATTACCTCAAAGCAGAAGGACTGAACCTGAATAATCCGCTGTGGGTTTTCATTGATCTGTACGGGAGCACAAGCGCCGTCCGCCTTCTGAGTAAGTGTGAGAAAATAACTCATTTCAATTGTCAATTGCTACGTGAATCGGTTTAAAAATATCAAATCTTTTGTAAAAATGTTGAATGTGCTGTAGGATCAAGGAGGGGCAATCGAACATCATGCCCGGTAGACAGTACATCTGTCATCAACTGGCTAGTGAGAGCAGTTGAGCGACAAACATCAGAGGAAGAGCATAGCTATAACCATAAAACAGGTGATAATGTTTTCTTAAGACACTGAGATCAAACATGAATCATCTATCAAACAACTTTTGTCTTTGTAGTTTTAGCACCCGGTGTACTGATATTATTGACCTTGATTCCATTATACTTAGAAACCAGAAAGGTCCAGAAAACGTCATCTTACTGGAAAGCGAGTCTCTTCCTTGTACAGTATGCCAACCAGACGACCATCCCAAGCCCCCGAGAATGTTCAGAACTCACAAGAGCTGGTTTAGGTACATTATCTGGCCCCTTTCAGCTTAAAATACATCACCAGCATTGACAGTTCTCTATGGTACTCATAACTTTGTGCTAAAATGAACACCAGTTGGGAATCTTATGTTTTCTCTGTTCGCATTCTAGGCGTACCTGTTCAGGCGTCAAGACGGGTAGATCTACACTGGACTTGGCAAGAGCTGAAACAGTTAATTTGCTCCAGATATCCTTTGGTCGACCTGGATGTGATTGGTTTCCAGTTTGCGAAGGCTGATAAGCATGGACGACTTTGCAGATTACATGCAAACACTCTGAAGAAAATAAAAAAGGAGCTGGCTGACAACATACTTTATATAGTTCCTAAGACAGACATTGTTCTAAATGAGGTATAGTAGAACATTCTTATTTACTTTTAATTTAATCAGTTCGTAAATACTGTGGAAGTGCCACTAAAAACTAAGGTGAATGCAGTGGCGGCTCGTGGGTTTTAAAATAGAGGAGGCACACTAATTGTATTGGTCTGGGGATCCCCGCCGATTATTATTATTATTTGCTTAACCACTTTAAAATGGCTTTTTGGTTGCTTTTAGTCAGAAAACGTAAAGAAAACGACACACATACAGCAAGATAATATAATTTCACTTACCTGGCCTATCACTTGAAGCAAACATCCATCCCTTCTTATCTGTCTGTTAAAAGAGCCGACTGCTGTAACGTTAGCCTGTATCCAGCTTAGGCGTGTTCTCCCTTTATTTTTAATTTGTATATATACTGTTTGAATGATAGCTTGATAAATCTGTTGGCGATCAAATATTCATTATCGCTACTCATAAGTACTTGGTACATTATCAGCGCAGCGGCAGACGTTCAAACTAATATCACGTAATTTACGTCTCTATGATGATTGGTTGATATACTAGAAGGGAGGCTAGCCTCCCCTATGAGGTTTCTTTTCTCAACACTCCTCAGCGGGTTGTAATTACATCAGCAGATTCGGCACATTCGCGATAGAAAAGCGTCGCTTTCCAACTTCAGTAACATGTTATGGTATTACAGCTGTGAAACTACAAACAAAAAATACAGGTGCTGAGATATGAACTTAAATTAATTGTGAATTTTATTAACATTAAATCGCCCCCCCCCCATTTTCACCTCAAAATTTTGGGGAAGCTGTGCCTCCCCTGCCTCCCCCGACGAGCCGCCACTGGGTGAATGTTTAAAGGGAAAATTCTTTTGCAACTGAAAGGGCACTTTTTTGCAACTGAACCTGCTAGTTGACATTTACTTGACAATACCAAACAATTAAACTGTGCTATTTCTTTTTCACAGATGATCACGCACACATTATCATCATTCGTGAATGCAAATGCTTTCACACAATCACGTTCTCCTCCACCTGTTCCTGCACAACAGAGGCACCGGTTGACTTCAACCAGCAGTTTTCTTTCAGATTCAAGCCGAAACTCTTCAATGGTAATAATATTTATGATAATCTTACATATTATTTTACATGATTATTATATACATAATAAATACACACAAATTTACACACACCTTAAACTGGAGTATAACATTGACATTGCAGAAAGGCAGCATAAAGCATGATTCACTTCTCTTCAACAGGAGGACATGGACTTTAGCTCTTTGCTCAGAGAGTTCCAGCACATGCATCTCAGTAGCAGCGAGCATGTTTCAGTATTGGTTTCTCGTAACAAGGTGCTGCAGAGTGCTAAAGAAAATTCTGTTTCCAACTCTAATTTCCCTTGGACCAAAATCCCTCTCGTGACATTTGTTGGTGAGGAAGCCCTTGACTGTGGAGGTCCACGGAGAGAGTTTTTCAGGTATTCTTCTTACAAACAAGAATAAATATTCTTTTACAAGAAGTAAAAGAACAGTTCTCAAACATGACTAGTAAGGTCACAGTTTTGTTTCACATCTGTGGTTTCTCCTTTACCTCTGCCTCAGAATCTTGATGATGGAGGTGCAGAGCTCGCTGGGCATCTTTGAGGGGCAGCCTGGACACTTGTTCTTCACCTATGACCAGATGGCCTTGGAGGAACACAAGTATGAGTTGGCGGGGAAGCTGATTGCGTGGTCTGTGGCTCATGGCGGCCCAGGACTCAAGTCTCTTGACCCCTGCCTGTACCAGCTGATGTGCACCCAGGAATGTCAACTGGTAGACTTTGACTGGCACCTAATACCAGATGCTGACATTCAGGACAAACTACAAAAGGTTTCTCTCCATTTCTTTATCAATCCATTGATCTTCGCCCTTCTTTAACTGGAAGATCTCTAATCATTTTATCTTGCTTTTAGATTTCATCATGCAAAACGATGGCAGATCTCCAGAGGCTGCAGACAGAGCAGGGTGACTGGATCTGTGAATGTGGTTTCCCTGGAATATACAGACGTGAAATTTCCATTCAAGATGTGCCAAAGATTTACTCCTTTGCAGTTCGACACTACATATATCTGAGGTATATAAAACTGAAGTTATTCTTATTGATTTGACTATCACTCATTTAAATGAAAAAAGTTACTATGTTTTTATCAAAGTAACACTCATTTGACAGTTAGTTCTGGTCCTCTATATGGTCTGATTGATTGAGTTAATATTTAGTAATGTGTTGTGTTGCTTAAGTACAAAAATGGACATTTAACAGCCTGTGTTAATTTTTGCAGAACATCAAATATGATTCATCAGTTCACAAAGGGACTGAATGCTTATGGACAGTTCTGGGATATGGTAAGAACTCACTGGGTTGAGTTTTTGCCCATCTTTACCAACATGCATGAGCCCCTTTCCAGAAGCACATTTAGAGACCTGTTCCAAATCCACTGGAGTAAATCAGGGACCAAGAAGAGGGAGGCTGAGGAAGAGACTATACACAACTGGGAACTGGTACTTAGGATGATTGAAGGTAAGTTTCCTAGTTATTAAATGAACTGTGAATAATGGTGCATCATTGTGCTTGTAATTGTCAATTCGTTTGGACTTGAGCTTGTAATTTTCCCTCAACAGATAAAAAACCAAAAGCTCCACAAAACGATTTGCAATTTGAGGAAATTTTGGCTTTCATAACTGGAGCGGGTGAAGTCCCACCACTTGGGTTCTCCCCGAAGCCCAGCATTCACTTCTACCAACCAGAGCAGCGTGGATGCCGTCTACCGTTTGCTAACACGTGCATGATGGGATTGTTCCTGCCCAGGGTTGTAAAAGATGAAGTGGAACTTTACAGGATGCTCCTGAGAGCGATCAGAGACTCAGCTGTTTTTGGGAGAACATAAATGTATATAATTCTTTATTATAATGTACACGGTCACATCCATAATTATGTATATTTATAAGCTTTATTTCATTATTTATTTCATTACTTAAGAAGAAAGCACTTATGCACTTACTGTATATTTTTGACATAAATATATTTTGCATTCTATGCCAGATAATTTTTTTTATATTTGTAATATATACAATATATTTATATTTTATATTTGTAATGTTCCATTTAAACGTGTTACATTTACGACAGTTTACAGATCGAAGAGAATAGGACCTATCTATCAATCATTATTCTGTAAACCTGTTTTACCTGACAGACCTATGCAGTAACACGGTCTACCATATCGTTTTCTGAGCTGTGCTTTGGTTTCGCTTTTTTGCTTACTTACTTACTTACCCTGTCAAAGAATGCTTCGGTACGCTGAATAAACTGGAAACGGCTTATTATCTAATCTTTAACGTGTTTTCCATTAAAATATTTATTTCAGAGTGAAACAGAGAGTTTACAACCTGTTTTGTTAGAGACGTCGAACAATTTTGAGATGGATAGAATTACAGCACCTACTCATTTCTATGGTATCCACAAACCGCGAGTGACTGTCAAAGCTGTAATGTGGCACACGTGATCCAAGCTGACCGTTATGTTTTCTCCAATGGCAGAGCCGCGGAGGATGGTTTCTCGTATCCACTGCTATCCACATCCCGCTCAGTAACGCCAGCCCTACTGTAGCTCTTGCTATAGGAAAATGACTGGTTGGCAAACTATTTTCTGCTCTTTCAAGCGGCTCACGTGACAACGTAAACTAATAAAGATAAACTGTCACATGACTTCCTCGAAATGTCTACACTACAGAGTGTAATATAAGTAAATATAAGTGTAATCAATAAGCTGGTTACCTGGTTACTGCTGTATGTCATGGGATTTATGACATCGATTGATTTAAATTGAATATATACAGGTGCATCTCAATAAATTAGAATGTCGTGGAAAAGTTCATTTATTTCAGTAATTCAACTCAAATTGTGAAACTCGTGTATTAAATAAATTCAATGCACACAGACTGAAGTAGTTTAAGTCTTTGGTTCTTTTAATTGTGATGATTGCCAAAATCATCACAATTAAAAGAACCAAAGACTTAAACTACTTCAGTCTGTGTGCATTGAATTTATTTAATACACGAGTTTCACAATTTGAGTTGAATTACTGAAATAAATGAACTTTTCCACGACATTCTAATTTATTGAGATGCACCTGTATATATAGCCTAACATAAAACAAGTAAAGATTAATTCAGAAATAGGCTATTTACCATAGAAAACACCACATTTTGAAAGAGAATTATATTTCTTTTTCCCAAAAGCAAATTCAGAATCCATAAGATTTGGGCATGTAATGACCTACGAAATCAGTAGCCTAGTACTTCAGAACTTTTCGAGGCAATTATTTCAGTAAATTTCCAACAGGATGAAACATCTTTAATGTACAGTAGCCTACTTTGGATCTGCATCCTGTGCAATTCCCAGAATGAGATGATTCATTTCTAAATCTGTTCACTTACATGGAATAAATACTTTCTTACATGTTTTATTGTGGACAGTCATAATTGGTGCAAAAGTTCAAAGTTAAAAAGGTCTGAATTGCAAAATTTCAAGGTTCAAAAAGTTTGAAACTACAAAAATAAGAAAATATTCTGATAATTTATTTGCAGGGTACTGACAGCTTTATTATTGCAATTATATATGCTTAATAAAAAGGTAATAGATGAAACAAAATTACTCTATTTAAAAGTATGTCTATATGGAGTAGCTAGTGTCCTTCAAACAACACGGAATTGCAAACACACACACACACACACATATATATATATACATACATACATACATGATGGCTTCCGGAATGCAGACCTTATGTGCAAAAAGTGTTAATGTAGATAAAACTGTTTTTCCCCCAGGCAACATATATTAAACCAGAGTTCTAGACTGAATAAGTTTAGTGATGTTGATGTTTCAATAAGGCATATTCTCATATGGCAATTAGGTTGTAAATTAAAGGGGTCATATGATGCGATTTCAATTTTTCCTTACTCTGTGGAGTGTTACAAGCTCTTGGTGCATAAAGAAGATCTGTAAAGTTGTAAAGACTAAAGTCTCAAATCCAAAGAGATATTCTTTATAAAAGTTAAGAGTCAGCCACACCTACCTAAAACGGCTCGTTCTAACACGCCCCCACATGTCTACGTCACGATGTGGGAAGATTTGCATAACGCCACCCAAATGTTCACGCAAAGAAAGAAGGCGTAACTTTTATTCTCGCTGTAGTATTGTTGCTGCCGCCATGTCGTGAAGGCGCTGTGTGTTTCGTTGTGAAAGCGAACCTACTTTGTTTGGCCTTCCAAAAGAGGACGATATCTGCTTCGTCATGCCTGGAGCTGATCCGTGCTGGTTGCTGAGGAAATACATCAACTTCGTGCTGTGGATCGCCGGATCGGCTTTCACCGTGGACGAAGCGGAGTCCAGCCCGGGGTCGTCACATGTGGTCGCCGCAAGCCCTCCGGACGCTTCTTCGTCGAATCCGCCAGCCTCCGCTCACTCAAGCCTGCCTGCCTCCATACACAAAATAATGTTCTTTTTAGCAGCATCATATGACCCCTTTAAAACAATGTCCTATCCAACTGCAGAATACTCACACAAAATACATATATCTTTCCCCACATTTATGTTCTGAGCTTCTGTTAGTAATAAACTTATTTACTTTATGCTCTTCATCTATGAAGCTTATCTATGTAGATAAGCTTTACAGAAAATACAGCCTGTATCTTTTATGGGCATTAATAAAGGCATATTTCACAACATCATTCACATCTATGAAGTGAAATGAAAACATTATTGCATTATAATGACACAGAAGCATTAGAAGGCATCCATTAATTGACTCACACCTCCACAATATTTACTGACAGACTTGTCCTTGACTTGTAACTGTGCACTTGATTAAGAAGCTCTAAGCCAATTCAGGTCACAATGAGCTAAATGAAGGCACTTTGCACCTCAACCCTGCTAGTTGATAATTTCTTGACAATACTATACAGTTAAACTAGGCTACTAGTTTTCACACATGACCACAAACTCACTATCATCATTCGTGAATGCAAATGCTTTCACACAATCACGTTCTCCTCCACCTGTTCCTGCACAACAGAGGCACCGGTTGACTTCAACCAGCAGTTTTCTTTCAGATTCAAGCCGAAACACTTCAATGGTAATAATATTTATTATGATAATCTTACATATTATTTTACATGTGTATTTTATTGTATATAAGAAATACACACAAATTTACATACACTTTTAAAGGCAGCATAAAGCATGATTCACTTCTCTTCAACAGGAGGACATGGACTTTAGCTCTTTGCTCAGAGAGTTCCAGCACATGCATCTCAGTGGCAGCGAGCACATTTTAGTATTGGTTTCTCGTAACAAGGTGCTGCAGAGTGCTAAAGAAAATTCTGTCTCCATAATTTCCCTTGGACCAAAATCCCTCTCGTGACATTTGTTGGTGAGGAAGCCCTTGACTGTGGAGGTCCACGGAGAGAGTTCTTCAGGTATTCCTCTTACAAACAAGAATAACACAAGTAACACAAGTATGAGTTGACGGGGAAGCTGATTGCGTGGTCTGTGGCTCATGGCGGCCCAGGACTCAAGTCTCTTGACCCCTGCCTGTACCAGCTGATGTGCACCCAGGAATGTCAACTGGTAGACTTTGACTGGCACCTAATACCAGATGCTGACATTCAGGACAAACTACAAAAGGTTTCTCTCCATTTCTTCATCAATCCATTGATCTTCGCCCTTCTTTAACTGAAAGATCTCTAATCATTTTATCTTGCTTTTATATTTCATCATGCAAAACGATGGCAGATCTCCAGAGGCTGCAGACAGAGCAGGGTGATTGGATCTGTGAATGTGGTTTCCCTGGAATATACAGATGTGAAATTTCCATTCAAGATGTGCCAGAGATTTACTCCTTTGCATCTTGACACTACAGGTATACAGTATATAGGCCTAACTGAATTTTTTCTTATTGATTTGATTTAAATAATAAATGTTACTATATATTTTTTTAATCGAAGTAACCCTCATTTGACAGTTAGTTCTGGTCCTTTAGATGATCGGTTGAGCTAATATTCTAATTTGCATTTTGAGGAGATTTTGGCTTTCATAACTGGAGCGGATGAAGTCCGACCACTTGGGTTCTCCCCGAAGCCCAGCATTCACTTCTACCAACCAGAGCAGCGTGGATGCCGTATGCTAACTGTTATGAGATGAGAGACATGCGGATCCATATGCAAGCTTTTATTAAGAGACGTGGTTTTAACAGGCATGGGTCAGACAATGGCAAACAGGTATATCGAAGGCAAGGCAAGAGATAAATCCAGGTAGAAGGGGAAGGTCCAGGCAGGGGCAAACAGAGTCAGAAACAGCAAGCAAAGGGTTAATCCAAGATACGTGGCGTGAATCAGAGACCAGGAAAACAGACAAGGCAAGACTAAGACTAGACTAAGAAAACTATGAAAACGTAAACAGGCTCGGTAAGGTAGCTATCCGCTAAACAGGGATAAACGCAAAACAATACACGAGACTAAAACAGAAAACACGGAATGGCTCGGTAAGGCAGCTAACACTTGGGGAGTGAAAAATGCAGAACAATACTCGGCGACTAGAGCAGGATCAGGGTAGGTGTTATATAGTGTGTGTAATAGCATTCAGGTGAGCGTGTAATTGGTTTCAGGTGTGAGTGTAATCAGTGCAATGGAACATGGGAATTGTAGTCCAGGGTGATGTGTAACAGTCTGTGTGGTGCGAGAGTCAATATCATGGAAGGGCGACCTCTGGTGGCAAGTGGATGGAAATTCATGGATCGGATTCGTGACAATAACGCATGCATGATGGGATTGTTCCTGCACTGGGTTGTAAAAGATCAATTGGAACTTTACAGGATGCTTCTGAGAGCAATCAGAGAACATAAACATAATATACTTCTTTGTTAATTTAATAATTAATGCATTTAGCAGACGACTTACAGTGCATTCAGGCTATACGTTTTTTTTTACCAGTATGTGTGTTCTTTGGGAATCGAACCCACAACCTTTTGCACTGCTTACGCAATGCTCTACCACTGACACGGTCACATCCTTAATAAT